TTAAACGCTTTACTTCTTTCCACCATTCCTTGGAGTCTGTTTGTTTCATTTGATGTACACGGAGTTTATAATAGTTTGATTTACAGATTTTCCTTTCTCGATTTACTTGGTTTCGAAGAGATTTAAAACTGCTCGAGTCAGGGCCATAGGTAGAAAAAGCTTTCTGCCTTTCAATGATCAGCGATTTGAAATGGTTCGTTATCCAGGGGGCATCGACAGGACATTTCTTTGATCGTGTCATCATTAAAATATTAACCCCAGTAAGGACTATGCTTTGAAACATGTTCGATAACTGATCACAATCATTAGTAGATGGAATAATTTGAGGCCAATCAATCGAGTTTAGATATCTTCCCAGGGCTCGTTTGGAACTTGGATTAATATTACATCAATTTGATCGAGGAAAGTAAAGGTGACTCCAAGAAGCTATGGAATGCTGTTAACGAAGCATCTTCTAGGAAATGTCAATCGTCCAACCCAACTTGCATTATCTCGGATGGAGTTGAATATACAAACAATAAATCGATTGCTTCTATTTTGAACAAACATTTCGCTACTATAGGTCAATATCTTGCCGAGAAGCTACCCGCTATAACACCAAGTTATGCATCAAGTTACTATCTATCTAATGGTCAACATTATAATATCCTTCCCGTTGATGAATCTTTCGTTATTAAACATCTAAAATCTCTCAAAGCTTCGAAAGCAACTGGTTTGGACAAGATAAATATAAAGCTACTTAAAGATGCATCAGAAATAATTGCTCCTTCGATTACAAAGCTCATAAATCGATCCATTCAAAATCATACATTCCCTTCAAGTTGGAAATGTTCGAAGGTATTTCCTTTGTATAAATCTGGGGACAGAGCGAACGCAACTAATTACCGTCCAATATCAGTTCTACCTGCATTGAGCAAGTTAATGGAAAAAGCTGTTTATACTCAACTTTATGATTATTTAACAGAACATAACATTCTCAATGATAATCAGTTTGGTTTTCGCCGAAAGTGTTCCACAACAACAGCACTCTCGAGTTTTGCTGACGAGATTCTGGCCAGTATGGAAAAGGCAGAAGTGTGCGGTGCCGTGTTTTTGGACCTGTCCAAGGCCTTCGACACGGTCGATCACGCTGTTATGCTGAAGAAATTATCTGAAGATATAGCATTCTACTGAAGATATAGCATGGTTTGCTTCCTATCTAAGTTTTCGATCGCTTCGAACTACTTGCGGTCCTGAGCTGTCTGAACCATTACGCTGTAACTTTGGTGTCCCACAGAGCAGTATTCTTGGCCCTTTACTCTTTTTGATTTATATCAACGAGATACCAAGTTTCATTAAACATGCACAATTATCTCTTTACGCAGACGATACTGTCCTGTATTACTTTTCTAACACTTCGCAGGATCTGGAGGAGAAACTAAATGCCGACCTGCGTAATGTTTGTGTTTGGCTTAATGAGAATAAACTAACTTTGAATACAAAAAAGACCAAATTCATGATCATTGGGGGTAGCCGTAAACTTTCTAATATTGATTCCGTCACAGTCAAGGTAGCTGGCAGTAATATAGAAAGAGTCGAAGAATTCTCGTATCTTGGAATAACTTTTTCAACTAATATGACCTGGACTGAACATGTTAACCAACTCTGTTCAAAGATCAGCAAACGCCTGGGGCTCCTGAAGAGAATTAAGCATCTGCTACCGCGATACGCAAGACTACTTTTTTACAAGAGTCTTATTTTACCTGTGTTTGACTACGGCGACCTGGTATGGGGTGATAAGAACAATGACGTACTGATGGGCAATTTACAAATTCTCCAAAACAAAGCAGCAAAAATCATCCTTGACTATCACCCACTTTCTTCGTCTAGTGCTGCGCTGGATGAATTGGGATGGAACAGGCTTCACCAACGTCGATTTTATCATAGATGTTTATTCATTTTTAAATGTTTGAATGGGCTATCTATGTCTAAGCTAATCTTGAAATCGCTAAGCGAACTTCATTCCTATAACACTAGAAATAAGAACAATTTATGCTTGCCTAAAGTTAAACGAAATTGGGGCAAACAAAGGCTCGAGTACCATGCAGTAAACGATTGGAACACTCTTGACGAAGAGACTAGACATTCAGACTCAATTGCTAAGTTCAAAATGAACTATTTTAAAACTCACTAGTGCTGAATTATAACACTCATAGCATGCTGCCGTATACATACTCTTTGAATTCTATTTAGTTACTATTTTTATTGTTGTAGATAGCTCACAGCTCTTAGTCTTACTTGTAATTTAAACACTAGGCATACTTTTATTGATTTTTAACGTTAACCTATATGTAATGTGATGGATTTGGTTTTTATGACTCATATTTATATATGTATATTTTTAAATATAGGACCTCTCTGAAAATCACTTTACGTGAGAGAGTTTCCTATTTAAATATTGTCATAAATAAATAAATAAATAAATACGCTTAAAGGTGGTGCCATTAAAGATTAGATCTTTAGCTCTTTCCATTGGAGATGAAATGATAGTATTGTGGTCCGATAGTCCAAAAGGGGGCATTATTAGAGGTTTTTCATAATACTCGTGCAGATTAGTTAAGATGATGTCGAGAATCGCATTTCTGCGGGTAGGAGTCTGAACTATCTGTTTCAGTTGAAAGTGATGTTTGATTCTGTTAACATTAAGACGATTAAAGTCACCTGCAACAATAAGTGCGCAGTTTAGAAATTTTGACTCTGCCTTTTTTAATGACTGGAATAAATGGTCTCTCATAGAATAATCATCTGCTCCAGGGGGGTGGTATACTATAGCTACGATAATACATGAGAACTTGCGTGGAATACGAGTAGGTCTAAGGTGCAGCCATAGGATTTCGTGCTCCTGGCAGCAAGATAACTCTAAAATCTGTTTATATTTAACATCTCGGTTATTAACGTATGCACAAACCCCACCATGGGGTTTGTTAATTCGGTCCCTACGTATTATTGAAAAACCGGGAATGTTCACCACGCTGTCAGAAATAGAAGCTTTAAGCCAGGTCTCTGTGATAAATACCAGGCTTATTTGATTCCGGTGAATAAATTCGCGAACTTCGTCAACTTTTGGAACGAGTGACATGACATTAGACAGCATTATTTTTGGGACATGTTCAAATTTAACAGCTTCATCTAGTGGAATTTTAACCAAGTTAAAATCGGACGTTTTATATTTATTCCGAAACCTCTTGCAATTGTAGTTATGAGTTGTTATTCTTACAGGAATGGTTTGACCCATGATCGTTTCTTTTTCCATTGTGGCATCTAATAATAATATTGGAAGAACAACACTTTGTCTTTTCGCTTGCCCCTCCGACTCTTCCGAAAAACCTCCTTAGCTTGGCAGGTTTTTGTGGAATGTTTATCCCGTTGCCAATTTGGGTTCAGTGATTGTATTTTTTCCCTACTTGTAATACGCGTCGGGATGGGATACTGATTTGTAAGATCGTGCTGTGGTATTTGATGGAGCGTGTTAAAAATAATACTTGGGAGGCCGCATCTATCCTCATTTTGCTTAGATACATGTTGACTCCTGCTTAGATTGATGTCAGTACTTTGATCCTCAACCACAATACAGGATTGATCAAGAGACAGCTCACAGTTATTTCTTTTAGTTTCCTGATTTATTTCTTTTCTTTGGTTGAAAGTGTGGGAATTTGCATAATTTATCTTTGCCTCGACCTTGGTGTTATTGTTAGGCCCGGTTTAGACGCCGTGCTTTTCATGAGCCGAACTTAATACAATGAATTAAGCACATGAGAAGCACGGCGTCTAAATCAATTAAGCACTGCACTTAATATTAAGCACGGCTAAATTAATAAGTTCGCCTGGTTCAGGCGTGCTACACGGCTGAAGCACATGTTGATTTATACTGCCGTGCTTTACATGAGCCGTACCAAATGCATAAATTATGATAAAATAGAACATTTATAGTACGCGTGCGTTGATTGGTCGAGAAGCGTAGTTCTACGCGGGAAATTTCCCGCCTAAATTTACAATCGTAAACAAAACAATTAAGAATTGTTTAATACAGTCAAAATACAAAAACCTTCCCACTTCCGCTTCTGGCTTGTTTTGTATTTCTGTATTAAATTTGTTCTATTTTTTCTGTAGTGATTTAATACCGCTTTATCGGCAAATATCGCGGTAGAATTTCCCTTTCTTTTCTTTATATACGTCAATTTGTAGCAAAGGATACACCTTTCGTTAGACTCTTTGCATAAAAGTTGCGAAATTAGGCTTATAGCGATATTTGCTGATAAAGGCAAAAAGGGTTTCTTGCAGTAAATTGATGGAGCAAAGGTCGGCAATATTACGCAATGAGAATTTGTAAATATATCGAGTCTACTACAAATCTTTTTTTAGTTATATTATTAAGAAATAAATATAAAGCATTTATTATGTATGATCCATATAGTTATAAAAACACTTGTAGTAGTTTGGGAGAACTCGAATAACGTGGAAAAACTCGCCCTAAGCCTATATAGGTCTCGTTTTCCCACACATTATATCCAGGCATTATGCTATGTTTGTACTAGAGTATTACCGAAATCAGTAGAGTGTCTTTTCCGGAAGTTGAAAAGACAGTCAGAAGCCAGTAGAAACGTTCATGTTTTATGACGTCACGGTGAAGGAATGCAGCGTAGAACTTGTATGTTATTTAAAATAACATACAAGTTCTACGCTGCATTCCTTCACCGTGACGTCATAAAACATGAACGTTTCACAATTTCGCGCGAGCTTGAAGTCTTGAACGGATAAGCGGATCAAGCGATGGTGAATTTTGATTCGCTAGTAATAAAGGCGGTCGTCTGCGAAGACAGGTCTAAAATATTCAATAGCGTGTGTTGTTGTCTTTTTTAAACCGATTTTCGAACATATTTTTTAAAAAAACCTGTTCACTCGGTTTTTTCGTTTTTTTTGGTCGGTTTTCGGTTTTTTATAGAAACTGCCTCACACTAGGGAGAACCTTTATTCGTGGGAAGGCACTGGGAGAAGAAATGCAAAGTTACTACAGAGAGTTACTAATAAGTAAAATAACTTACAAGTTCTTAAGACTTTTAAAATTATAAACTTGCAAGTGATCTAGGTAAACGTTGTGGCATTTCTCTTTCCCATAAAAAACTTTTAGAATTAAACTCATTTTCGCTTCCTGATACAAACAACTTATAGCGTGTTCACAGTAGTGATGGGCGATACCGAGTACTCGGTATTCGATACCAGCGATACCACAAACAGCGGTATCGGTATCGATTACTGACGTGGTATCGTTCGATACTTGCACTCTTTTTTAAACGACATGTTTAATTTTACTTCTTGTTTGAATAAGACTTAATGAACAACTAAAATAACTGTTAATATTCCGAATATGGTGCGCCAAGTCAAGTATAGAGTATATTTATTACGTTTCGGGCTTTTGGTTTACTTATAGTTTTATTTAGGTTACATACAGTGAAGTAAAATGTTTTTCCACTGACCGGCAAGTATCGAAAGTAGCCGATACTGGCAATTTAAGTACTCACTTCCGGTATCGAAAATTGAAATTTTGTGTTTATTTTGGTATCGAAATAGGTATCGGTATCGGCCGATACCGATCTTAAAAGTATCGGTATCGGTATCGAATTAAAAATCCTGGTATCGCCCATCACTAGTTCACAGCTCAATAACTTACAAGTTCCTATGCAATAACTTACAAGTTCCACGCTGCATTCCTTCACCGTGACGTCATAAAACATGAACGTTTCTACTGGCTTCTGACTGTCTTTTCAACTTCCGGAAAAGACACTCTACTGATTTCGGTAATAATAAGGCTTTTCAAAAAGCAATTGAAATTTTTAATAACCACAAACCTGTAGACGCTCAGAAATGCCAAGATTGTATGTGATAAACCCTTTTTTCTTATTATGAATTGTCACTCGCCCCAGGTTTCGAAGTGAAGCAGCGCAAATTATTAAGTACGGCTCATGAAAAGCACGCCTGTCTAAATCAAAATTGGAAGTACGCCTATTTTACTCGAGTAAAATATGAATTAAGTTCGGCTCATGAAAAGCACGGCGTCTAAACCGGGCCTTAGGCGCAATTTGGGAATTAATCGACCGATCTCCCATAGGTGTAATTGAGCCACATTGTTGATTCGAGTAATTAATTGTGTTCCTTTGTTCCAATTCGTGTAGGTTAATTTACAGGTTTTTAAGTCTAGTTCTAAAGCTTCTACCTTGCTGCTTAAAGCCTTGTTTTGATCAACTAATTCAACACGAATTTGTTCCATTTTTGGGGTATTTGTTAGAAGACCACAAACAATTTTAGACTCCATCAAAACAATGTCTAGCTTGGCTCCCTCTGATTCTGTTGAGAGTTCGCTATGCGAGACAGAACAAACCGTTTGGCTTTGGGCACTCATTTCACTTACCAAGTTAAAGTCTGTTTGAACACCAATATCACGAGTCGTGTCTCTAAGGTTCTTGTCGCGATCTTTTATATAGTTTGCCATCAGCTGGAAATCTTTATCGAGTTTCTTCATTGCAACACCAATCTGTTTGACGGACAACTCAATGTTAGTAACGTTTCCTGCTAGCTGGTCAAAATTTCCTTGATCTATAACGCTACTCAGAGTAATATTTCCGCAGTCTTTCGCCATATTTGAGCCAGCCAAACCGATAATCAAATCTTTCAATTTAATACCAGCTTGTCCTTGAAACACAAGTGACTTTTTGAGAGGGTACCAGGTAATTGAGACTTGGCTACTACGAAAGGATTTTGCTCGCCCGCCAGGAGAAATCCACTTGCTTTGTTCGCCAAACAAATCGGCCACAAAAGTTTTCAAATTCTCAAAGTTGCCGTTCCATTTCACTCTGTCATTGCTACTGTCATATTCAACAAGCACCTTGTACTTTTCTTGAACGTTAAAGAAATTATTTTGGAGCTGGTTTAATATATTTTTATCGGAGCTATCACTTGGCATGACTTGCCTCCCTTAAATTTGATTTCGTCTATAATAAATATTACATCTTCTGTTTGGCGAAATGGGCTTTCCGTTTTGAAAACAACGGCCTTTCTTGTTCCGCCACACTTCTATAAATACAACTGTAATCTCGCCCCTTATAAACATTGTCATTTGACCCTGGAAACGGTCAATTTCGAACAGCCCAACGCGCTTTGCAAACGCAAAGTCGATGAATTAACATTAATTTTTGCATAATTATAGTTCAACCAATCACAATTTGTCCCAACTTTTCTCGGGAAATTCACGTAACCATACAATCTTCATGCCACGGATTCGCAGACTATATATGTCATTATATAGTCTGCGCCCAGGCTAATGGATTTACAGCATGGTGTCTAAACTAGCGCTAGCCAATTAGAAAGATTTAGATTTTTTCTACACGTGCGAAAAACGTTTCGGCCAATCAGAGTGCGTCTATGTTTTTGTACGAGCAAATTCAGAACGGCAAAATTCGCACGAACGTGGCAAGGAGTTCACTGGTTCGCTATTTTGAATTTCTTGTCGTTGGTTATGAGTTTATTAAAGTTTGACAATTTCCAGTGCTGGTGAAAGATTCTCAACAATCTTAAGCTCGTTAGTATCCGTGTCATGTTAACACTTATCACTTAGGCCCATTTTATACGTCGAATTTCGGTCGCGTCGAATGCAATTCAAACCGCAATAGATAGTGAAGGTTAACGAGGTTTATCATCTCATTATCTATTGTCTTAATTGCATTCCACACGACCAAAATTCGACGTATAAAACAGGCCTTACTATAAGTCTCGGAAGATTGAAATATTAACGTTGTTGTATTCATTGTTAAACAGTTTGTAAAAGTTTTCAGCCATAGTGCTCTTCGCAATAACCAAGAATAAATAAAAAAACTTGTATAGTGTTAAATAATAAATATCGTCTTCGAATTCTATATATAATAACGAATTTAGTAATGGTAAGTGCATTCGTATGGTATTTTTGCACTTGCTAATTTGTTTTCGGCACAAAACTCACCGCTCGTTCGCTTTCTGAAAAGAAATTAACGCGCGCGAAAATACCATACGTCAGCACTTCCAATTAAGAAATCTCTATTTATACGATATAATATACAAAAGCATATATAATATACTTTACAAGTACATGTTCATGAAGTAAAAACAAAATACAATTCCAGAAATCTCAGGACTGTATACAGGATATTTCAGTTATACCTATATATGCTGAATGTCAACTGAATAGGGCGATACTCTCATCTCATGGTATCTGGCCGGGTATATATAAAATATTCAATTCAGCCATGAGTCCTGGATACTGGATAATGTTCAACCCCCTCCCCACTGCATGTATATGTATATACAAAAATACCAGTGCTATTTTAACGATCTCTTTAATTAATACAGTATACAGATATAGCTATGCATGGTAGCAAGCTTTCAAAATTTACATTAGTCATGCATTCTAACATACAGTCAACTCTGTAACGTAAGACTACAAAATAATAGCTAGACGCATTTTGTCCAAATCCATCGTGTTCCCAAGAGAATGATTGTCAATAAATATGCTTATATTGAGCTATATATCCCACTTTACCCGAGATATCTACTCTGTAGGCATTCAGGTGTTTAACTTAATAGATTTACTCAAGCCTTACATAGCTTCAAAAATAAACCGAAAAATAATGAGTTAAAATTACAATTACTTCTCCGAAAAGGTAATAATTACAAATTACAATTTATTTCCCTTCAATTGTAGTTAATTACTAATTAGTTGTTTTTCTGTAACTTTCACCTGTGTTCATATTAAATATTTTTTGTTTTTAACTTAATTAAATCAAGGATCACACACGAGGTTGTGATAATATTTTTATTTTAGCAAAAATAAAAATATTATCAAAAACCTCTTGTGTGATCCTTGATTTAAATTAAAAACAAAATTATTTACTAATTAGTTGTTCAAAAGTAATTGATTATACTAATTATATACTTGTCAGTTACTTTTTGCTTAAATGCCAATACGATGGAAATGCTACAATAACAGATGCACCTGCATGCAAGCAACATAAAAACAAGTCGTATGATTTAAATGCGTTGAATTTGTTACTTAATTTGGGCAGGGCAGGGCAGTCCAGTCGCATGACCAGTTAGCCCTAGACAGACGTTTGACGTCAATGCCACTTCCCTCTAAAATTTCCAGATATGGTAAGGTTGGAAAAATTAAAAAGCGCGCATGCAGAGGTAAAGTAAATTAATGTCTTTACAATGTTATTCGTTACCTTGTTAATAAATACGTTTCAAAATTACTTTAGTACAACAAGTAATTAAATACCGAAAAAGTAATTGGTAACGTTTTACTTACGAGTATATACAACATTGGCAATGCAATGTAATACAATGCGATACAATGCAATACAATGCAATGTAATAGAATGCAAACTATGAGCTCTAGGAGCCGCCATATGACGCATCACGAAGCAGGAAGGTATTGTTTTTTTTGTGAGAGGCAATTGAGTAGCCGGAAAACACCACAAAGAATATAAAAGCAAACACAACTATATTCACATCATATTTTAAGTGCACCAACTCATAATATAGAGGAGTCACCCAATCATCTAACTTGTAATACCCAATCATCGATACTCAACTTTATATGTTTTTATATGCTTTTAAGCAAAAAAAATACAAGAAATTGTCATTAGTAAGATAACCTCACTCTGAATTTCATTTTTCTATAGGTATCGACACAGCGAAATTTTTCCTGCCTTGGCATAGATGGATGTTGTTACAGTACGAAAATCTGATTCGTCAAGTCGATTGCAAACTGACAGTACCGTATTGGGACTGGTCACTGGTTTCAGCTGAGCCGTTTAACAATGAATTCTGGAACGATACTTTGTACAGTTTTGGCGGGAACGGCGCAGGAGATCCTCCTTGCGTGAATACAGGTCAGTTGGTCGAAATTAGGTTAGTGCATGCATTTCATTCATGGACCCGGAAAACGTTTGAGCGGCCGATATACAAAAGGTCTCATTCAATCTTCAAACAATAAATAGATTTACGAGTAGACACATCGAAAACTGTTCATTGTACAAGCATGCAATAATAAACCAAATCTCAACTGTCAATTTCATATTAAACTAATATTAATAATATTTCAACATTAATATGATAACCAAATTTCTTTTTAGCAGTGAAAATGAAGCAATCTGATTGGTTGAGGAGCCTTTCAGAGCGGACCAGTTTTTTGCATCCGGCCCGCTCTGAAACGCAAATGCACGCTGTGAAATGCAACTGTCCGCTCTGGTTTTCGCGTCAAAAGTGAAACTATTTTAAACTAAAAATCTGCCCAAAATTTTGAAAAACGTAGCCTAATGATAGTCCAATACGAAAATGAATTCTTACGAAAGCCTTAGGACATACTAAGCACGATGTACACCAGAATTGACATTATTTTGGAAACGCCTCGCCTTTCGGCTCGGACCGTTTTCAAGACCTCCGGCACAGTTTTTCTCATCCGGACCTCGCAACCGGTAAATAACACATATATATTATACTGAAGCAAGCAGGTCTGCAAGTTTCCCGATATTTTAAGTATAATCTGCCAGACAAAACACTGTGTTTAAGCAAACCCACCTATAAATTGTAATAGTACGTTTTTATCTAATTTACAGGACCATTTAGCGCCAATTCGGGCTGGAAATTACCCCAAAGTGCTGGAGGAAAGTGTCTACATAGAGTATTTCTCACTGGATTTCCCGGAGTAGTTCCAGACGTTGTCGCAGTTGCAAGGGTTTTAGCTAAAGAAGCATCCGAATTTACAAATTTCGAACTGATGATTCGAGCGAATTTGAATAATATTATATTTTTTGCGGTCGGCGGTACGATGCTTTCCATCGACAACGCGATGGCTCCCGAATTCGTTCCTACACACGCTTTCACAGATAGGATTTGGGCACAGTGGCAAGAGAAGAGCACCGAGCATCTTCTCCCGCCGTTTTTCCTCACGCAAAATGACACAATTCCGGGTACAAATTTACGGCCGAGAGAGGTACTAAGAAATGATAGATTACCCGGTGATGTTCGAGTCAAGTATGCGGCGCCTGACCTCGGGAACTGGACACGAATTATACAAGCTCTGAATGAAATCGCAGGTGGGTTATGTAATCACGGATAGGCTAAATTTGTAATCGTACGTTTGATTCTGGACCAAATAAATTACCATTAATATTTATACGTCTGTTGAGAAAGCACACCTTAAAATGATATAAATATGTTATGGCATATCTTGAGGTGTGTTCATGAAACACAATCTAGCTAAGATGTGTTCCTTACCCTCAATTAACTGGTTGGTGGAACAGTGGTACGTTGTTGAGCATATTGCGGTTTCTAAAACAAAGTCGCCAGTAACAAATTAGCTCCCAATTTGATTGTATACACTTTGGTATATAAAAGGGTGTGAATTAAACAAGTCACGTATTATCAGCACTGACGAAGATCCGGGCTTACGGATCAAAAGCTTGGCAGTAATAAATGGTAATACATTTGCGTGGTATTTCCACAAACAAAAAGTATTATATCTGGTTTCTCTTGTAATTAACACTATAGTCAGACTAATCAGGGGTTACCTTTGCTGGAACTATAGGAATAGACATAAAAGGAGTATGAATTAAAGTTTCTTTAGTTTGGTTTTCATCTATAGTAAAAACTGGACCAACAAAACCTCTAAGACCACCTCTGTACAATTTAAAATAGTTTAGAACACAGGATTTTGTAAAGACTGCATTTTCCGGACAAAGGCTTTTAAAGACCTGTCAGAATATTTTAAATACGTTTCAAAGACCTTTGACAGCAATTGCGATTGTTAGCGCGTTATTTTTTACTTAGTAATTGATCCAATAATTTCACATACTGAAATGTTTCGACCTTTGTGAAAATCGGGCTGCATGCAATTGATTACTAGCTAGGGAATTATTACTTTAAATTATTAGGTGGAGAATCGTAAATATAAAAAACAGAGGCGTATCCACGGGGGTCTATATAATCCCTCCCCCCACACTTCTCCTCAGAGCCAATTTCGCAATTCTTTCAAAACTAAGAAGAAACCTGGGGGTGTAACCTCTTAGTGTTTTCATTTATAACCTAAAATACACCAAATCTGTATGGCTTTGAGATTATCATGAAACGTGTCTAAGATGCATGAAATTATAGCGTTTCGCAGCCATAAATATGGACAATTTTCTGGGAGACCATGCCTCCAGACGGTCGAATGATTAGACACCACATTATTAAAGATGATTTTTGGTAATAAAGACTTTCTTGGCTTTTTTGTACAATTCAAAGACGTTTCAAAGATTTTAAACATCAAATTTAAAGAATTTTATTAACAGCTATTCAGAATGTAGTTTTTAAAAGGATAGTTGTTACGGGAGGAAAAACAGTTTAAAACTGATATGGCTATCAATTATAGAAACAAGTAGTTTAGATATATTACACTTTGCTTCTAACTACAGGATCAATAATGGATTACCCTTACTGGACCACATGCAACATTGAACAGTTGAAGTATGTGAGAGCTATTCAGTATCTTAAGCACATTTATATATGCTTATATTCTTACCTTTTTCGATTTTCAGAAACGAATCCAAATGAATTGAACAAGCTTCCACGAATGGAATCAGCCAAATTGAACGCGACCATGTTCGGCGTTGGTGAAGAGGAGGGGCAACGAGCGACAGAAATGCAGAAAGAGCTGACAACTGAAGTCAAGGTTGATCCTTCACAGCTCACTGGAATGGAAAAAATGATGGGAGTGAAGGTGAAAGACATTACTGAACTTATGCAGAAAACTAACACTACCAGATGAGATTGTATACTTAAAGATATACAACTAATTGTTTGTTTTGTGGTCATTCGGCATTTGTCAAATATATTGAGACTTTTGGCAAATATGACAAATATATTGATATTTCTTCATTGGAAGTGCTGACGTATGGTATTTCTGCACGCGTTAGTTTGTTTTCACAAAGTGAACGCGCGAATGTCATAGCAAATGAGCGAGTGACTTTGTGAAAATAAAGGTACGAAAGTACGAAAATACAATACAAAAGCACTTCCCATTAGCAAATTTGTTTATACTATGGGTACTGAGTATTTCTTCCATTTAAGTAATCGATATCAGAACAATCATCACCTATGATATGTTTATCTTTGCCTTTCGAAAAATAGCCATATATATTGCAGAGAACAATTTACAATTACACAAATTCATAATTCATAAAATAGCCATATATATGTACTTTACAATAAAATAACTTATTTAACATAATGTATGCATGCACAACCTTTTGTGGAAAAGATGCATTTTATTATAACAACATTAAATAAAAATCGACATCAAGCGACAAAATAGAGTTTATAATCAGTTCCAGGCGAAATAAACGAGGTCAGACAAAGGGCGGTAAATTTTATGCCGTGAGTAAATTAACTCACATACATTATCGTTGTATAATTTGATTGGCTGAAACGGAAGACTGGAAATAAACCCATTGTCGTCCCCAGAGCCACTTTCAATCGGTCACTCTTTGATAATTAGGCTCTGGGTTAAAATGACTAAAGGGAGAGAGCTGATTCGCTCCTCAGAAAACTGCTATTTCCCAGAAGTTGAGCAGTTTTCGCTTGGCAAAACTATTATTCTATGAACATATGTCAACACAAATACTTCGTTTCTTCGTAATACTTCACTGTGAAAATTGTTACAGGTGCTAAAGCCTCCAAATTTAAGAGGATGCGCCTAGGCAGGACGCACACGGCAGAGAGGCTCTGGAGACGAGGATGGAAATAAACCTAAACAGCGTTAGTTTCAAGTTTAATCAGAGTGTTTTAGAGTGTAGAATACAGAAGAACCTCGTTATGCTGAACTCGTTTTTATGAGTTCCCCGAGTGTTCCCCCTATCTCGATCACTTTTACACGGTTAACTCGAACTTCCCATTACCTTTCCATTACTAATTTTGCTTTTATTAACCGAATTTGCCCGGTTATCTCGAATTTCAATGACTTTAAACTCAGTTCGGAAAAAAAATACAGGTAACAAAAAAACCCTGAAAATTTTGAAATGCTTCCATACTGTGGAAATGTTATCTCCCACCAGGTCATACAAACTGACGAAAATCATTTACGAAGCAATTTCGTTTTCGTTTTTGTTGTCCAAATTATTCAAATCGACACCTGAAAGTGCTGCAAATGGCTTTTTCCGAGCCTCATTTTTTTACATTTGTCCGGAGGAGCATGCCAAGAGAATCTCTATAGTTTACAACCCTCTTTAACTTTTAAGATCTTCCTGTTTTGCCTAATTTAGTGTTTGCACTTAACTGAAAATTAACCCCTCCCCCCGAAAGTCCCTCTAAATTTAGGAGCATGGACATTAGAGAATAAGATATATTAGATTTTAGATGACTTGACGAAAACAGTTGACATGACATAGACGGTTACAGGAATAACGTGCAGTGACATTTTATAAATGATTGGTCTAGACATCGTTTCAAATTGTGTTCGCAGTCATAACCGTTCAAATGCTCCGTTATACGTTAGCCGTACTTTTATCATATGACAATGATTACGTAATTATTAATATACATAAAAATATTACTCGACTGTGATTGGTTGATTTCAGTGCAGTTAATCTCAAACAGCAGTGCAATTTTTTGTAATCACAGTGCAATTTTCTGTACTTGATTCACTATAGTTATAATAAACCTGTCGTAAAACACTCATGCATACTACTGAATACTCTAGAAAAATAACAACCCAGCTTTGTCACTAGGATAGCGACCCCCTGTTGTTTAACGTTACCAGAAAACAGTTTGCATAACAATATATCTGCATGAAGAGCTTGCCTCGTCCCCAGGCGCAAATAAAAAAATTTCATGCAAGTCACTATATGAAAGGTTTACATGAAGTAGTGCGTCACATTATAGGAACGCAAAGGGGAGTGGGATATGAGCGTCGATGCCTCAGGCCCATAACTCCGTGCGCTTGTTCGTCGCGATGCACTACTTCATGTAAACCTTTCATATAGTGACTCACATGAAATTTTTTTATTAGCGCCTGGGGACGAGGCAGATGAAGAGCAAAGAAAATGTTGTGTTTAGTCTGACACCTTGTATGAAAATCCCACAGTTCTTGATGCTCTCGAGTCACTTATTGTTCAGTTTCAACTATTCTTAGCCATCTGCAAAGAGTACTTTTGGACAGTTCTTAGAATTCGACTGTGTACATGAACGCGCAATTGACCAGAGCAAAGGTACAGTGTAGCTTTTGAGATTTCCGATCTGGGCAAGTGTCCTTTGAACCGTTGCACCAAAGATTCATCCATGAAGTGTGTTCATACAACTAACAAATTTAATGATCCAATTTCTGCACTAACATCACAAATCATGTAGAATTGCGAGCGTTGTTTCATTAACTTTAATTTATATTCTGTATTTATATTAGCTAGCTTATATACACATGCATACACGCATTATCTATTCACAATGACTGATTTGATTTAAATAATCCATATGTTGGGAACCTAAAAAAATAGCAAATACTCAATACCCCAATGCTCCAATAGGCGGGTGTCACTATTTTGCACTGGATGGGTGGCCAACCGCCATGGCCAGTTATTAAAATGACAAAAAATATTAATTCCTTTCATCAGATAGAAGTTCGTACATTGATAGCGGAAAATAGGTTGAAGTGAGAGATGCAGTTTAATTAACTAACTCTTGAAGTTGATTTTAATTACCAGCAGCTGCTTTATAACATGTACTAAATTAACCCATCAATGTAATAAGCATATATATTTTTTCTAGCATGATGTCAAGCTGTAAGAACATTAACCTATAAAATCCGATAAAAGTTGAATAACTATTGCGATCAAGTTATAAAATCTACTTGCTAGTTTTATTTAAAAAGTACAAAAAAACTTGAACAACATTCTTCTATAGAGAAGGACAGTTTTACTCAAACCAAAGAGTGTTTTCTTTTCCATCAACCAAACAGAGATAGCTGATGATTAAATTTATAGAATTCAAGCTCTCCTAATGACTGCAGTAATTAATGATGTAACTGATTTGTTATGATTTCTTGTTATGACTGCTTAAATTAAAGTGGGATCATTTACAGAATTAAGGCTAACAGAAACAATATTACTTCAAAGACTGATAAGACTAATTAAAAAACTGCCAATAATGACCACCATATTTTCCAACTATAGTCAAAGTTAAAGCTCCTGTTAATTATTGAACTGTCGCTTAACACTTAGTTTTGAGCTGAATTAATGCATATAAGGCAGCCTAACAGGCGTCTTAAATATTTGACTAAAATGTTCTAACTTGTATAATAAAACAGTTTAATTAATATGGCGAAAATGTTTAGATAATAATGCGTTTCTGCAGTTTTGATTGCGTGCTATGGGCGACGTCAGTCACTGTCAAACTATTAAGTTATATTTATTCCTAAGGTTGGCGAATAAATCACCAATGCCACCATGCTGGATGCCTGGAACCCGCTGGAAAAGCATTTTCACATATAGAATACATGCACATATTATGAGAATGTCTTTTTCAGCGTGTTCCAGTATACTGCCATCAAAACATTAAAACATTGAACAAATACAGAAAACGTTTCGTATTTCTTTTGTTTTAGGAATTCATTTATTTCGCAAAAAAGTTGTGAGACGACTTTTAAGGTATAGTGATTTTGGTTTGATTTATTTGCCAAACTTGGGGAATAATATATTAAAGGTGCTGTAAAGTCCGTAATGAAACAAACGCTTTGTTTACACACATATGGTTTACATTTTGAACTCAGTGCTACAGTTATACATATGATTAGATATATATTATACTGAACTTTTAACACTCTTCTGGTTCGCGATGCTTGTAAATTAATACAGACTGGAGATTCAATTCAAGAAAGGAAGGTGCGAAATAATAACAACATTCCCATGATTGGGTCCCGACCATTGAAATCTTGGTCTTCGCAGAACGGACTTTACATCATCTTTAATAGTATGCAGTGAGTGACGTCGCCGTAGCACGCAACCTGAATTGCAGAAATGCATTGTTATCTTAACATTTTCGCCATATTAACTCCTTTCGACAGGCCCTGATAAAATTAGGTCGATTTTTAGGAACAGTTTTATTAAAAGTTCGAATATTTTTTGTCAAATATTAAACACGCCTATAGCTGTTAGGCTGCCCATGCCTAATGGGTAAGAGAGAAAGAGAAATACCAAATTCTCTTGCATAAGAAAACATAAGGGTAAAATATGTAAGGCGTGGTGTAACATGAGTAGTTGAAATGGGACAGTTTAAAATATTGCGCAAAGGGTTACGGCCGGTAGAATCAGTTATAGTTTTAATCTGTAGCTTTAAGATGCAGTCTAAGTCCGCGATGTTCTGGTTATTTCTCTTGATGGCTTACATGGCAGTAGTCAACAGAGTAAAACTGCGGTACGTAGGATTGTATTGTTATGATACGCATTTATGTAGGTTAAATTTAGTAAACGATTGAACTAACTTTATGGACATTGGATACTTGTTTGGGTTCTTCCTAAACTGTTCTTGAATCCAGTCAGAGCCATTCCAATGCTCTAATCATATGGGAGGAAACCTAATGTCGATACCAGAGAGCTTTGGCAGTTATAAATCATTCTCCCCAGAGAGTAGAGAGCATCCTTGTAAAATAATTTTGATACTGGATAGCTTTTTAGCAATTGTTCTTACTGTGTTGTATAGATGTTCAGTGAGGCATGTCCCTTATTGATGGCCTGGCATTTTGTTTCTTCTTGTTTTGATTATATTATGTACAACCTTTATAGATTACTTGACTGAAAAAGCAAGCTCATATTTGACATATGTCAATTTCTTAAGGGTTTTGGACCTCCTTTCCTCTCAACAACCGAGGTAACGGGGTTCGAATCTTGCGGTAGTTATACTTTCGTGGTAATGATCTTTGCGTGATGATATACGTATAGACAATGGATTTGTGAACATCTGTTCATAATTATTAGACTATTTAGTGTATGAGCACAATTTATGTGTAAGAAAGTGTACGCATGATAGTTTAATATTTTCTACAAAAAATTATTATTCATTAATAATGTCTATTTGAACTTGTGCACGCATTTTCTACCCAGTAAACTGAGTTGCTCTTCGTTAATCATTAACACAATGAGATTATGTATAAGAATGGTAAAGAACTAACCATTTTATATGATACTGTCTTTTTACCCCATTAAGTAATTCAAAAACACTTTAGCCTGGTTTCCATATGGTTGTAACGGTCGTAAAGATTGAGTCACGATCTTTCTCATAAGGCGAAATCAGGGACGAAATTGATATGCGGAGTGAATATAGCTGGAGAATTCTCATGATTTATGTACTGTTTAAAACACGAGCAGGAGTGCTTTATCCGATATA